TGAACATTCGCCAAAGTACATGATAGTTCTAGAAACGTTGCGTCATAGTAGTCATGTGACTCACTGACGCAACAGTATCTTCTCAGATATAACATAACGTTTTGGGACAACATGGGACCTATTGGTTCATCTCATCTGTTTCATTATCTAAACTAAACTAAAACTATTAATAAATAAATTTTAAAAAATCTTAAAGCCAGCTCTTATCATTCACATACTTATAAAACTTTCTCTTAAACTCATTTAAATTTATTGCCTCCACAACATCCGAAGGCAACCCACTCCAAGGGCCAACCACCCTATTAGAAAAATAAAACTGTCTTAGCTGAAGATCACTTCTACCTTGCCAAAAGTTATACTTGTGTTCCCTAGTTCTTCTATTCTCTCTGTTAAATATGAAAAAAGATGATGCATCAACACTATCAGTTCCCTTTACAATCTTAAACACCTGAATCAGATCCCCCCTAACTCTTCTTTTTTCAAGAGAAAACAATCCCCATCCCACGCATCATTCTACTAACCTTTCTCTGAACCCTCTCCAACAATTTAATGTCTTTCCTAAGGTATGGAACCCAAGACTGAACACAATATTCCAAATATGGAGCTTCGTTTTCTATTTTACTCTTCAAGATTCCGTTCCAAAACAATTAATCACATGTTATTATTTTTACTATTTTTAAATCCATCAAAAAATACTACTCACTTTTTCTTTATATACCCTATCCTTTCTGTATATTCTCTTGTCCGGATAGTTCTCACATAAACCCATTCCGGGACCAAGAAGGTTAGCTTGTTGGATTGTCAGTTATTCTGAACGATGAGCAAGCTTAATTCAAATAATAGAAAGAAAGAAATGAATAAAAGATAATAAAAAAGCAATTTGGTGTTAAATAAATAACATAATGTTAAAAAGTCCTAACCCTAATGAATTGATATTATTTGGTATTTCTTTACATCTTTTGTTTTTTAGAACAAACCTAATGAGCGAAAAGTTGGGAATAAAACGGGCTGATTATGGTCAGAGTATAAAAAAGGTCGAATTAATCCTGCTTTTAATCCAAACTTGTTTCGAATTACAAAGACAACAAGTGGAACACATTCTGTAAAGTTCTTAGTTGAAGTGGCTATGGTTCCAGAGTTTTCGAACACCCTATTTTTCGAGTATTTTTATGGCATCTAATATATATATAAAATCTTCAAAAAAATGCTGACCATATTCTATTACTCTTCCTACTTATAAACATCTTTAGAAATCAACGTCGATAGTAAAGGTAAAGACAAAAGATGAATAATTAAGGACGCTGAAATAGTGGACATAGACGTTCTATTTTCCTACTGCTCTGCCCATATTCGATTTTGATCGACATTATTATATTGTTACGTCTCTGGTCGTTTGTTAATTTCCCGTAGAAATTCTTTCCGAGAAACTTCAGCGATACAAGTCCTTTCTTAATTAAAACTAGTTTATTCTTTCTCGAAACAACTTTGCAATACACAGAATTTCCACAGCCACTTTAAACTTGACTAGTTTTATGAACACAAGCTATAAATCACAGTGATTCACACACTTTACTTACGGCTTGACTCGATTATCTCTATCTTCAATCTCTCTATCTATATCATTCTGCTTTATTTGCCGGGCTTATATACTAAAAAAGAGGGCGCCTGGAACAGATTAGAGTTGCCAGGACAATTCAAGATCCTTCGAGAATCTCATGACATGTTACCAGAGTCACTTGACTTCCGATGTCGTAACAATGTCATATGAACGACGTAAACAAATATTTCTTTGGGAAATCGTAGTTTTTAGATCATTGTTTCATATCATAATGATCTTCAGTGAATTTTTGCATATTTGTATGCAGCCAAACAAGCATGTTCGTTGAATTCTTGTTTATGTGGATGCAGTCATATAAGCATGTTCGGTGAATTCTTGTTTATGTGGATGCAGTCATATAAACATGTTCGGTGAATTCTTGTTTATGTGGATGCAGTCATATAAGCATGTTCGGTGAATTCTTGTTTATGTGGATGCAGTCATATAAACATGTTCGGTGAATTCTTGTTTATGTGGATGCAGTCATATAAGCATGATAGGTGAATTCTTGTTTATGTAGATGCAGTCATATAAGCATGTTCGGTGAATTCTTGTTTATTTAGATGCAGTCATTTAAGCATGTTCGGTGAATTCTTGTTTATGTAGATGCAGTCATATAAGCATGTTCGGCGAATTCTTCTTTATGTGGATGCAGTCATATAATAAGCACGTTCAGTAAACTCTTATTTATCTAGATACAGTCATTATATGTATGTTCAGTAAACTCTTGTTTATCTTGATACAGTCATATGAGCATGTGCATATTTTAAATGGATTATTATGTGGCCACAAAACAATATATACTACGCTTACTATTATTGTTCTTAACTAAACTGTGTATGAGGTATTGAACTTTACCCTCATTGAGATAGACATGCAATTGTTTATGGTTGAAATGGTTTTAAATAGACAAGTAGACAATGTGAAAACAAAACATACAACAACAAAACAAAGATCATGAACGGTTGCCAGGTGACCGTTGTTGGAGTAATGTTAGTATGTGAAGTTAAAACGAGGGGCTATCTGACACCATCCCTAATTTTGAGCTCCTTAGTGGCACAGCGGTATGTCTTTGGACTTACAACGCTATAAACCGGGTTTCGATACCCGTGGTGGGCATAGCACAGATAGCCCATGGTGTAGCTTTGTGCTTAATTTCAAACAAACCAAACCATACCCTAACTTCGAACTATTGATCAGAAGGAAGACGACCAGCCAACAGCACTCTAACACCCACCATCTGCACTAAAGGGTTGACTGTCATCATTATAACGCACTCACAGCTTAAAGTGTGGAGTATATTTTGTGATACCGCACGGTATTCAAATCCTGAGTCCAAATGCAGAGCTCGCTCTATCAAAGGGCCAATCCGCGCCCGTTAAAATACAACAATAAATAGTTTGAAAATACACACTTGTATAATGTATAATTAGAATTATAACACAGAAAGTTTTTGTCACAGATGTTTGATGTTAAGCGCATAGCTGCGCAAGGCGATATCTGTGCTTGTTTGTTATGGATTTCGCGCAAAGCTACACGAGGGCTATCTGCGCTAGCCGTCCCTAATTTAGCATTGTAAGACTAGAGGGAAGGCAGCTAGTCATCACCACCCACCGCCAACTCTTGGGCTACTCTTTTACCAACGAATAGTGGGATTGACCGTCACATTATAACGCCCCCACGGCTGAAAGGGCGAGCATGTTTGGTGTGACGGGGATTCGAATCAGCGACCCTCAGATTGCGAGTCGAGTGCCCTAACCACATGGCCATACCGGGCCCTATCTATGCTGTGGCCACCCTAGGAATACCACTGTTTTGACAAACATTTGCGAAAACCATATTGGAAACATACCTATGTAAATTTATATGTAAAGATTATGTCAGAGAGATACTTAGTTTAGTAGCACGTACACATTAGAAATATATTCAATTGGAATGATAATATCATTTGAAATTTCAAAATTTGTTTAAAAAATTAATACTGAACGTCTTTAAACGTAATAAAAATTGCATTATTCTTTTAAGAAAACTTGAACATCTGAATAAAAATTCTACGACAGAATATTACATGCTATATTAAGGAGAATATCGTGAAATGTTTATTGTAAGTTTCTAATAAGATTTCAAAGAATAAAAATAATTATCATATATACAGAATTTAAAACTATTCAAGTACAGAGAGCAGAATCTGAGCCGTTTATGTTAGAGCCAGGTGTCCTAGCCGCTAAATCAGTTGTAATACCCTAACATTAATTAAAAAACAAAAACTTGATAATACTTACAATTAATTTACTTCATCTAGTTCCCACCATAACAGTGTTCATGAAAGTTTATAATACAAGTAGAACTTAGACCATAACTATGTCTGTCGTATTTTAGGCCTCGTTAGCACTGAGAATGAACTTTATTTTTTTTATAGAACAAACCAACATTGGGTTATATGATTTGTCTGCAATGGGGAATTGTATCATTGAAAGTCCAGAAATTTATCGCTGTCCTACCGGAGAGACGTAGATATATTATAACATATTCTACTTTGTTTTCACTCATAAGTTCTTAGAATTATGTATTTTTAAAGGAAGTGAACATGTTTAATACAAATAATAATTTTAAAGCAGAATTTAGTATTTTTTGTTGTTTTTTATTGTAACTGCATACGTTACCACACGACATAACAGATTTAAACTTTTTGACAAATAAAGAGAACACGTTTTGTTCCCCCTATGTAAAAAGGTGGACTTGCCTGATGTTGCGCCGACTCAGAACGAGCCTCACGCGTGTATTCAAACGAAAATGGCGACAAGTTACTAGAAGCTCGCCACTATAGCGTAGTCTCGTGCTAGCGGTTGTTGAAGGAGAAATAGGCTGTAGAAGTTGACAGTACTACGTCAGTAATGTGAAACGCAGTCAAAAAACTGCCTAATTATTCCATGAAGGCTAAAAAACGTTACTTTTTAGTTCTTATTAGCTGTGCTTTTCTTTTGTTATGTTATTTCGGTGGGTATCATTTATTGAAAAATGGCGACAAGAAAACCAAAGATTTTAAGCTCACGAAACACAAGGTTCGTGGTTATTTGGATACCCGAGAATTATACAGGGATAAAGACTCGACTACTTCCTCGCGGCTTAGAAGAGAAGAAAGGCGAAGAAGTTCTGACACTCTCACGTGTAGTATGGATACATGTTTTGATTTTTTCCGTTGCCGTAATGACTTTAAAGTGTATATTTACCCAACTAAGGATAGTATATCACCAGCTTACCAAAAAATCTTGAGTATTATTCAAGAATCGAGATTCTATACAGAGGATCCTAGTCAAGCATGCTTGTTTGTTCTTTCTTTAGATACGTTAGACAGAGACCACCTCAGTCCAGACTATGTCAAAAACATAAAGTTAAAGCTGTATCAGCAGGCGAAGTACTGGGACAATGGTAGAAATCATATATTATTTAACCTGTACTCAGGCACGTGGCCTGATTATGTTGAAGATTTGGGCTTCAATGTTGGACAAGCTATGGTAGCAAAGGCAAGCACATCGGTATCAAAATTCAGACCAAATTTTGACGTGTCCATTCCCTTATTTCCCAAACATCACCCCAAAAAAGGTGGTGAGCGTGGTACTTTGACTTCAAATAATTTTCCCGTAAATAAAAGATATACATTAGTATTTAAAGGTAAGAGATACGTGCATGGCATTGGTTCAGAAACGAGGAATTCTTTGCATCATATACATAACAATAAAGATATAATTATTGTTACAACGTGTCGTCATGGGAAGTCATGGAAACAAATGAAAGATGAACGATGCGAGACCGATAATAAGGAATATGACAGGTGAGATTATTTTTAAAAGTTTAAGCCTCCTGGATTGTCTGTTAATATTAGTAATATATAGTATTAAATCTGCTGTGTCGAACTTTGTATTAGCCAGTTACCAATGTTTACTAACTCTTTATTTAGCTTCATAATTTCCACATTTTTACAGCTAAAAGTAAAACAGCACAAGACAACAAAGTCAAGCTTACAAATGATAAATAATTTAGGCTTAAGTTATATTTTTAATTTTATATTGTTTAACTGTATTACCTTGGTTGGGTTTGGGGATGAACCAGTACATTAACTTGTATTGTAATAGTTTTGTTATTTATTTACCCAGTGGTTTTATTGTTTATTGCATACAGAAAACAATTTAACGTTTTATATATTATTATTTTTTATAAAGGCCAGAACTTCAATAGAAGATGATAACAATGTTTTGTTTCTATAATAACTAATATTAAATTATGAACTAAAACAGTAAAGTGTTAAACGAGAGACTCAAATTCTAACCCTCTCTCTCGGTGGCTGAGTAGTAAATCGGAGGGAAAACAACGCTAAAAATCAGGTTTAGATACCCGCGGTTGGTACAGCATACATAACCTGTTGTGTGCTTAATAAGTTTCACGTCACAAGGTAGACGTTCGTTTCAAGATTTACGTAAGTATAATAATCCAAGTTAAGAAAAAAACTATAATTAATTATACTTTTCATAAGACGTTAGTATTAGGCTTATTATTTTTTAACACTGCTTTATTTACCTAGTCCGGTGAAAGAAGCATTCACGCCATAAAAATTGTTCTAGAAAAAACTTTTATTTAGTAATTAGTACAACGTGGGAATATAGCAAAAACTTTTAATGCCTTTTCAAAGGGATTTGCTTTTTAATCTTTATGAGATTTTAGATTTTCTAAAACAAAAAGTTAGGAAAATACTCGATTAAAACGTATACGAATCACTGAAATACAAAATCATATTTTGTATAGACTATGTCTTTAAGTTTCGAGAGGATCTTAGTGCGGGAAATTAGTTAATTCAAAATATAATTTAAAACTAAATTGTATAAAAATCACAATTCAGATCATTTAACGAAGTTGCAGAAGGAATTCAAACCATACAAACGTGTAACGGTTATTGATATTTATATTTCATTAATTATGATAAGTTAGTAAAGAAAAAAAATAAGAAGATGACATATGAAGAGAATCTGACTACATAATGCTTTTTTGACATTAACAAATGACATTGTTAGAAGATTCGCTGATCTCATGATATAATAACGTTATTTTTATGGAGTGTTATTTAACAATTTCTCGTGAGAAAACTAAATGTTGAAGGCATTTCCTATCCCTAGCTTTAACTGGTTCCACGAAATCCGTCCTTTTCTGAGAGACCTTGAGCTAAAGGGAATAGATTTGAAAATGTGACGAATTATTTGAATCTGTTCAGTCAGTCAGGGTTAGAAAAATAGTCCAACATATAGCGCAGAAAAAGAGAAAGCAACAAATAGCCGCTGAATTCTTTGTTAATCAGTCTGGACGAAACTAAATAAGGAAATTTCTCTTTAAATAATTTCTCCATAAAAGTAGGAATGAAATAAAATTTCAAGGTGAACTGACTATCTGAGGTAGTTTCGTATGTAATTAAAAGTCTGGTAAAAAGAGATCAAGGAAAATGAGTGAAAGAATAAGGGATATAATAAAAAAAAGAAATAAAAGTTAATTAGTAGTGATTGAAGAAAGAAACAGAAACTGTGAATAAATCAATAAAAAATAGAATAACAGTTGAAGATCCTGATAGAATAATTGAAAAACAAATTACAGAGCAACGAATTAATATATGTGGAAGCTAGTTGATAATGAAGAAAACTATTTATATTGTATAAAACTTTTTCTCAGTAAATTGATTAATCAACCGTGTGTATGTATATAGTGTAAAATTTAGTTAAATTAACAGTGTTGAATGAGAAACTTCAGTAGTTTGAATATCAGCTACTATAGGGATACTAAGTGAGAAACTTCAGTAGTTTGAATATCAGCTACTATAGGGATACTAAGTGAGAAATTTCAGTAGTTTGAATATCAGCTACTATAAATCATAGTAATTATAAGGGTAACTAGATGATGTACCTCATTCAAAGCAGACAGGAGACATATGGATTCAGATTCAAGCACTGATCTCAGTGTCACTCTCCTGGGGTAGGTTGGGACTAAAGGTTTGGTGATAATCGGTCCAGCGGGTCGCCAGTTATAAATGGACACAAAGCATTGAGAAGACATATGGGTCTCAGGGGGGAGAGAGAATGGGGTCAGATCCTAAAGTGGACCCCTAAATCACTCCCTGTGGGATTGATTCTAAGGGGGCTTGCCAAGTTTGATGACAATCGGTTCAGCGATTCGTCAGTTATAAGTGGACATATACAGACTTTTGTCTTATAATCTAACTTATATAAAAGCCAATGTGTGTCACGTCACGATTGATTTATCGAAATAGGAGGAGTCATAAAAGCCAAAATTCATTTATCCAGATAGAATAGTTCGATTACTGTCTGCCCATTTTAGTGACGGGGATGCAAGGGGGGCGTGAAACCTTATAAGTGTAGTGAGTGTTGGGATCACCTAGCCTAGAGCCAAGTGCATAAAATGTATCATGAAAGTAAAAATTTCGATTCAATTTCAAACTTAAATCGTTTTTAAATTAAACTATTTTCTATTAAATCACTATTATATAAAAAAAGCAATTTAGTGTTAAATAAATAACATAATGTTAAAAAATCCCAACCCTAATTCTTGTATGTAGTTACATACATAAAGCTGATGAAAAATTACACTTAACCAACTTAATCCAGTTGACACCGAAACGTCTGTTGTCAAGAGACCTTCTAATGTAAATAGCGTCTCAACCGTTATTATGTTTTTTGTATCTCAGCCGGTCTGAAGATTCTTGGTTCTGGGCTACAAGCCTCGTCGGTACTCGATACAGTCAATATGGTATGGTTGATATATCATTATATACATTTCTTTACTTTCAGTAAGAAGTTCTTAAAACAAGTTTCTCTAATCCTAAAAAAGAACATAGCGTTTTTCTGTTGATCATTAATTTGTGTAACAATGAATCACAATATAACTGATAATAATTTTAATCTCATCTAACCTATATAGAAGCCAGTGTGTGTATCACGCTTGATTTCTCGAAATGGGAGGAATCATAAAAGCCAAAGTGCATTTATGCAGATAGAATAGTTCGATTACTGTCTGCCCATTGCGATTTTAGTGACGGGGGGTGCAAGGGGAGTGCCATGAAACCTTATAAGTGTAGTGAGCGTTGGTATAATAAGCGTAAAGTAAACTGTAAAGACGTAGTATGAGATCACCTAGCCTAGAGCCATGTGCATAAAATGTATCATGAAAGTAAAAACATCGATTCAATTTTAAACTATAAATTGTTTCTGAATTAAGGTATTTTCTGTTATGTCACCAACCTTTTTAATAAAAAACCTCTTTAATCAACGGAGACTAAATTAATAAATCAACAAAAAATTTTCCAGTTTTGTTGTCTATACATTTCATTTTATACTTTCAGTACATAGACTAACAAAAATATTAGATTATACTTTTGTTGCTAAGCAACGTGATATAAAAGCCATTGTTGGAACGAAGTGTTACCAAAACGCACTGGCTTTACTATATATTAGAAGTTGTTAATCCAACTGATTTTTACCAATAATTACTCTATGAATACGCCACGAATTCATTTCATGAATGATCTTAATTTTGATTGGCTCACAAAGGAACTTATCGACTTTCGACTGCACTTTTCTGCCTCTTTGTTGCTCAAACTTGATCGCTTCGCAAAAGTTATTTATTTCAGTTAGCTGTGAAATGTAAGGTTATGGTATAGTCTAGGGAGGTAGTACTTGCCCCGACATACGCTATTTTAGCATAAATATTAGCTAGTGTAAGGAAGTTTATTGATTTATAGGCTTTTTATATATATATATTGTTATTATTAAAATGGTATGGATTGCTGGTAAACATATCGATGGACAATTTAATGTTTCAGTATTATTTAGTATAAGGCATTAGTATTATAATAATATTTATTTTTTTACATTTAATTGTTATGGCATACAAATACATAAGTTGTACATATTGTTACGTCTCTGTGTTCGTTGGTTAATTTTCCGTAGAAATTCTTTCCGAAAATCTTCAGCGATACAAGTCCTTTCTTAAATAAAACTCGTTTATTCTTTCTCAGTACAGCTTTGCAATACACTTAATTTCCACAGTCGGTTTAACTTAAACTCACGCTAGAATTCACAACGATTCACGCACTTTACTTACGGCTTGACTCGATTATCTGTCTCTATATCTCCCTGTTTGCAATTATCTCTGCCGTCACTTCTTGCCGGTCTTATATATACAAAATAGAGGGCGTCTGGCAAACACTAGGACGTTCGACAGGTTCCTCGATCTTTCTAAAACTCCAGCGCATGCTCCCAGCGTCGCGCGACTTCCGCTGTCGTAACAATATTATTTCTGTATTAAAGGGATAATGATGAGTTAATGAACAAGACATACAGCGTTCTTGTAATCTTACAAGGAGATATACTGTTAGCTGTTACGTAAGGATTTTGTAACTACATTATAGTTATAGACTGGCCACTTTATTAAAATCTCCATTTAATATCAGGCTGACCTTTCGCTGAGGTAATAGCTTCATTTCTAGAGATGCTTGCTAGGAAGGGGTTCTGTTAGGTTAGAACTCACTTGGTGAATGGGAAGGACAGGAGTTGATTCATAGATGTCAGCTTTGGGTCATGTGACGTTCGAATTCGTGCCAGAGGTGCTCTGTTGGATTGATATCTGTTGCTGGCTAAGGAAGAAGTCTTAAATTACCATCCAGCTCTTTGACTAAGTTTTGGAAACTTACTGTGTTGCAGTATCTTTTTAGGCGAGCCTTTGTTTGTCCACTAGCACTGTGGATGTTACTAGTAGTTCTTCATGAAACTAACTTTA